GACTTTTTGGAATTTAAAAAGTTTAGAGGTATTCAATTGAAACATTTTGAGACTTCTAAAAGCCACGGTTATTTAACTGAGACTTTTATAAACTTTTAAAATTTCTAAAAGTTAGGGTATATTCAATTAAAACTTTTTAGAAATCTTTATAAGTTTGCAGTATTTAAATTTTAATGGCTTCTAGAAACTTTTGTAAAAGTTTTTGGAATATTAACGTTTAAGTAGAAAGTACTCATACGAAATCTTAAAATTTGTCTCTCATTAATCACGAGATTTTGAGAGACTTTCACAAAAAATAAATATTTTTTTCAGTCTTTCTTTCTTCTAACCTTCCGTGTACATGTATGATTAAAATTAACTTTTTTTTCTATTGATTATATTTCATTTATCTTTCTTATTATTTTATCTCTATTTTCTATGAAAAAATTAAATTGGATTCTTGTAACTATTTTTTTCTTTTTCCAATTCATTTTTTTGGTGAGAAATATCTATTTTTTTTATTAAGTTATAAAATTTTATGTGAAAAAATTATAATTAAATTTAAATATATTGATTTTTATTTATTTTTAAAACTATACTATACTAATAATATCGAATAATATGTATGTATAATTTTGATTATTATTTATTTAATTAAGGTCTTAATTTTTTTTAATTATATGGTAAGAAGAAGGGAAGGAAAATGAGAATTGTGGGAACTAACACCTTTGTGGAAATTTCACACTAGATCAATATGAATTCTATTTCAAATGAAAGTTTTCAAAATTCTTTTGAATTCCACAAAAGCCTATAAAAATTTTAAAATGAAAATCCATAGAAGTTCACGAAAGATTTCTACTAATTCCATACAAATTTATAAAAGATCCACAAAATTCACAAAAGTCATCACTTAAAAAAAGTCCATCAAAACCTTTAAAAATCTCAATTGAATATACCCCCTAGAGTTGCTTGTTTTCATGGTGAAATTTAACAATGATAAATAAGTTATTAGGTTTACATTTTCAGTCAGTGACTATTAATATAATCATGAGAAACTTAAGTGACTATTTTGGTTAGAAAATTACTTCTAAAATGAATTATTATTATTTACAATTTTCAACGAAGGTTGTTGAAATTAATCCAATTAAATCGATCAATATTGTATAAATAATAAATAAATTACCTTTGTATGAAGTTGATTTTTGAAAATAATTTTATGAAAAATGTAGGTTAAAATGTTATTGAAAATAATGATTTTTTAATACTATGTAATTAAATGAGTGCTTGGAAATAATAATTTTTAAAAATCAGTTTTGTACAAGGCTCTATGAATACGTTTCCGATCCATTGAAATTCTTTTGACCCTCCACGAACAAAAGTCAAAGCCCTAGACAATACCCTCCGCCGCGCGTCTCTCTATATTTATATCCGAGTACCAATCTTTGCTCAACCATGGAGGCGGCTTAGCAGAACACAACTGTAAGCCTTCTCCTTTCAGTATTTCAACTACAAAAATCCGCTGCCAAATCTAGATATTAAAGGATGCGAATTAATATGCATATGTTTATAGTACTCTGTGGATCACTGCATATTTTACTTTTATCGACAGAATTTGGGTAAAAATCGAGGAAAATGATGATAATTTTTTGTCGCCCCAGTCTTAATCTACATCTACATCTACATCGTAGATGCAATGTGGTGATTGACATTTTGTTTGATTCCTCTTATTCTTATAAATTTATTTTAATTGTTATTTGATTTCTGAATCTGAATGTCATATCCAGTTTCTATATAATTACGTGCGTGCTTTCTTTTGTTGACATAATTTACATCTAATCTGGAGATGTAATGTGTTGATCGACATTTCAATTGGTTCCTCTTTTACGTATAATTGGGATTTTTTATTTTTTATTATTATTTTTAATATTGATTTCTGAATCTGATCATGATATCCAGTTTCTGTATATGGAGATGTGAGGATGTTTGTCCACCTATTCTGCAATTGAATGATGATTATAAAACATGCACTACCATCTGATCTCTATTGCTTCTATCAAGATTCTTGCTTCTTCTTCTTCTTTTATTTATTTATTTATTTTATTTTAAAATTACATATTTTTATTTTCTCAAATCTGATTTTCTTGTACACTAATTATAATAATTAAGTTATGCAATCACTGATGAAGTTACCTTTTGTTACTGATTTATGCGTGATTACTACAGAACTTATCACCATCTTTCGGCTGAGATTGCAATATATCATCTTTCTTTTCCACGTCCGTTTCACAACTTTTTTCTTACTATTTTTTGTAATTTACTCTTGTGTGGCTCTATATTTTAAAATCTAGTTTCAACCACATATTCTTTGAATAGAATAAATTTGTTGATGCATCCATAACTTTTTCTCTACTTTTTAATTGTGCATTATTCAAAAAAATTACTTTTCTCAAAATCATTTTTCAAAAAAATCTTAACCCAATAGGGAACAAAAGAAGTGCATAAAATGATGTTGCCCGTGGTATCTAATGTCCTGAATCATATTCTGTTGTTGGATGTTTCATTTTGAGGGCAGAAATAAAGTAAAGAACAGGTCTTGCGACACGGATTGTTTTAATTTTAAAAGCTTTCTGTTACTTTAACCCTGCTCATATTTGTTTGCATGTTAAAAGATGTACTTTTGTTCTATTTATTTATTATTTTTTAGTTTTTACTTCTCATCAGTTTTATATTGTTAGCCCCCGTTTGGTTTTGATTTTTCAAGCTAAATTTTTTTTTTTTGACCGTTGGTTAACATGGTCACACGTCATTTTTGACTTCTTCACTTATAGGTGGAACCCACATTTTTCTCTAACGGTCAAAAAATTGATTCTAAAAATAAATACCAAACATGTCCTTAATCAAAAAGTTGTAGAATGTTAGGCTACAAATAAATATCAACTTAAGTTGGGTTATTAGCATAAAATATCCCTACGTTTTGGCGTGTAAAATGTCTTTACGTTTCAATTTTTTGCATTTTTCACCCTTATTTCCATGTTTCATTGTCCAAGTCGTTCTTTTCTAATTTTTCAATAAAAAATTGTGAAATGATGAATATAGCATCCTATTTAAATAAAAAAACAAAAGAAAAGAAAAATAAATAAGTAATTGTAATTATACTGTCATTTTTTTTTAAAAAAAATGCAAATGAATCCTAAATAATTTATTAAATTTTTTTTAAAAAAAATCCACTCTTTTTCCTCCTCCACTACCACAAAACCAATCCCAATCTCCCCAATATATTTAGAGGAAATTACGCAGCTACAGCTACTAAAAGATCACATTTCATATTCCAGGGCTGAAGTTTATTTGTGCAGTTTTCAGGTTGGAAATATTTAACCACCCATCCACTACAAAACCTAATCCTCATCCTCGTATCTCTTGACTGTCTTCTCCCAATTCTTAACAGTATTAGCGCCTTGGAAGATGTTTTCCAGTGCGACAGCATCACCACCATCTCATCGCCAACACTACCACCACCTCGCTGTTGTTGAGCGATGGTTGGTCATCTCTATCCCCGTATCTATTCTCTTCTCCCAATTCTCAACAACGGTAGCAGCGCGCCATAAAAGAAAATCTCCCGTGTGACGGCGTCACCACCATCTCGTCGCCCTACATAGCAATGTTATTGAAGTCGTAGAGCAATTTTGGGTGGTTTGGGACAAATAGTTGTTTAGATCTGAGATGAGATCTATGTTTTGGTTTTGAATGTAGCGGATCTGACGATGAATTGGTGGCAACTATTGTGGTTGATGGGTGGCGATGGTGGTGAAATGGGAGTTGGAAGCTGCTTTGGAAGTGCAGTATCTGGATTGGGGAGACGATGGTGCACTAGTAGCGATGACAAGGGTGGAGATGGTAAGGTGTTGCTGTTTACAGTAGCCATGAATGAATGTTGGTTGGAAACGATGGTTATGGTGTTGGAGATGGTGAAGTGGCAAAGACGTTGGTGATGGCTTTTGTAGGGTGTTGGTGGATCTATATCCGTTTTGTTTGTGGTGAGGTGATGTTAGTTGCGGTGTTTGAAATGATGGGGTTGTCGGAGATGGTGGTGGTGGTTTTGGCAATAGCGATTTTGATAGCAATGCGACTGGTGGTAGTGGTGAGGTGGTAGTCATAGATGATTTAATTGTTTGTTACGAAGAAATTGACATATGTGATCAATCATTTAGTTATACGTGACCAATTATTTAGTGTGACCTAAAAATTTAATAATCCGTGACCAAATGATTTGGACTCGAAATAATCTATGACCCATAAATTTTTGACTTGTGACTTTGAAATAAATTGTGACCTACAAATTTTTAGATTTGTGACATCGAAAAAATTTATGACCAATTAATTTGATGATATGTGATCACTAAATGAATTTGTGATCTATAATTTTGAATATGTGATCATTAATTGTGTAGCTGTAACTTTATTATCATTATTTAATAAATATTTTTAATTAATTAGTTAAAACCTGATTTTTGCATTTATGAAACTTGTAATCTAAATTTTGAATTATGCATAGTTAAAATTTTGATTTATGAACTCTTCCCATATATTTACACCTCCTACCTGCTAATTGTTGAAATGTCACCATCTATAAACATGCGTAGCCTTCTTCTCCACAGTCAAATAGGATCAAATCTTTGTCGATGAACTCATTTACCGTAGTCCCAATAGCATCCACCATTGTAATGTCCTGCAGTAAGGTGAAGATCGGGATGGTTCGATAGGCAAAGATGAAGCCAAGTTTGGAAAGTTAAACCTATCGTTTTAACCATAGTTATTAAACTTGACCCGATCAAGGCACTGGATATCGGGTTACTAGTCGAACCGGTAAGTTAGTGGTTAGACCGGTAGGTTAATGCTTAATAATTATAAAATATTTTTTTAAAATATAAAGTTTTTCTTCTAGATAAAATAAAAAAATTTAAATTATCTATCATTAATTATTTATATATTATTTTGTTAAATATTCAACTCATTTTAATTAAAATAATTATTATAATCTTTTAAAAATATTTTTAACAAACTATAAATGATTTAAATATACATATTTACTGCAAATATAAAACAAGAAACAATTGATCTCTAGTAGTTATATGGTACTTATTTTACCTAGAGGTCCAAGGTTCAAATCTTTTAAAAGCAAAAAAATTTATAGATAGGCTTTTAAACTTGGTCAAACCAGTCAACCGATCGAGTTAATATAAAAATTGCCCGGTTAACTCGGTCAACTCAATTTTGGCCGAGTCAATTGCATTTCTATGAAAATGTTCTACCCGGCTCAATCAAGGGCCCGGGTCACCGGTTCTTCGGCCCGACTGGCCAGTCCAAGCTGGGTTTAATAACTATGTTCTTAACCTTTGAGAGTTAATAAATAATCAAATTTTGACCAACTGGGCATATGCAAGATCTGCTTATAATAACAATCTAGAAAATCCCCAACAATGCAATCGCGACAGTTGCCGGTTCCATTTAATGGGATTCCAAGGGGAATGATGGAGTGAAGGCTAAGATAAAGTTGGGTTCAAAATAGTTATGGGTTTGCCATTATGTGCTTTGGTTCCGGAGGAACAGTTTCGGTTTGCCATTACTTACTTGGAAATTTGTTTAATTTTTAAGTTAAGTGATTGGTGGTTAGAGAATAGGCCGTCATGTACGGTGGAACGGTTCTGGGTGGGCTTCCGATGACCATAGAAGAAGTGGTGGTGTTAAAATTTATTTATTTAAAATAAATACTATTAGTTTGTATTTTGTTCTAGTCTATAGCCATTTTGCTTAGTGGTTAGAGTTGTTTAGAAAATGACTGTTGTGGTAGCTTTTCTTTTGCCTAGTTTATTGGAGTCAGTTTTTTGTAATTGCCTATATAAAGGCTATGGGTTAATAAATAAAATGATCAATTTCAATACCAACTCTTCTCAATTTTCTCTCTCATGTTCTTCACTTTATTTGGTGTAGTAGAACATTATCATTTCCAGTGCAGCAAAACACTATTTTTTCTTTTATCTGTAGACAGTGGTATCAGAGCCCATAACCCACAGTTCTCAGGTTAGAAAGAGATGGGGAGTAGAGAGACTCGACGAAAGTTCACCAATGGCTTCCAAAAATTTTGTAAAGCCAGTCATTTCGTGGTTTGATGGTCATTATGACCATTGGAGTATCTTATGGAAAACTTCTTAAGATTTAAGGAGTATTGGCATGTTGTTGAACCTGGTACAGCAGCACCTACAACACCTAATAATGGCATGGCAATTACATATGACAAAAAATAGAGCCGGAGGGGTTGAAGTTGAAAGATGTAAAGGCAAAAAATTATTTGTTCCAGGCCATTGATCGATCTATCCTTGAAACTATTCTCAGCAAAAAAAAAAAAAAAAACTTCTAAGGATATTTGGGATTCAATAAAGAAAAATATCAAGGCTCTTCCAGAGTAAAGTGTGCACAGCTTCAAGCCTTGAGAAGGGAGTTTGAGACTTTACAAATGAAGGATGGTGAATCCATGACCATCATTGTGTAAGGACTATGGAAATAGTTGACAAAATGCGATTCAATGGTGAGAAGATGGACGATGTTGCCATCGTTGAGAAGATATTGCGTTTTTTGGCTTCAAAGTTTGATTACGTTGTTTGATCAATTGAAGAATCCAAAGACATAGATGTCCTTTCACTTGATGAACTCCAGAGCTCGTTGTTGGTCCATGAACAGAAGATAAATCAAAATTTATCTACAGAAGAGCAAGCTTTAAAGGCTTTTACCTTTAACCATATATTCTTGAGGTAAAGGTGGAGGAAAGGGAGATCGAGGCAATATGGATGGCAATTGTAGCAGGCAGCAGCCAAATGATCAAAATAATGATAAATTTCATGGAAAGGCAGAGGATGGGAATTCGACAAATCCAAGGTAGAATGCTTTCAAAGTCATAGATTCGGTCATTTTCGTTCCGACTGTAATACTAAGCTGCTTAATGACAAAGAAAAGGGATAGGAATCAAATTTTACAGAAAAGAAGGAAATAGAAACTCTATTGATGGTTGGTTAAGTCAATGAAGAACATAAGTCAAATATGTGGTATATCGATACAAGGTACAGCAACCACATTTGTGAGAGTAAATCTTCTTTTTCTTATCTAAATGAAGACTTTCGTTCTACGATGAGTTTTGGTGATTGTTCTATTGTTAAGGTAATGGGAAAGGGTGAAATTAATATTAGAACTAAGAACGATTTTGTAGAAACAATTTCCAATGTCTTTTATGTTTCTGATTTGAAAAGTAACCAGTAAAGTGCTAGTTAATTGCAAGAAAAGGTTATGTAATAACTATCCAACTTGGTGTTTGTGAGATATATATTCCTTTTAGAGGAGCTATTGTTGCTATTCAAATAAGTTCAAACAGGTTGTTTCCCTTGAAGATTGAAACTGCTCAACCTTGTTTGATGGCTGGAATAAAAAATCCTTCATGGCTTTGGTATTTTCGTTAGAATAATACTATTTACAATCACTCACTATTGTAATCATCTTATGTGGCACACATGTGATGGTGAGTGATTTGATATATGTGGCAAGAAGAAATTATCAAATTAATACATCAAATCACAAACCGCAATGTAGAATACCATGTAAGGTGACTACCGCAGTGATCGACTATGAATAACATTACTTTTTTCGTTATGGTAATTTGAACATTGGTGGATTAAGGACATTTCAATAGAAATATATGGTGACATGTCTTCCTCAAATTGTCACTCCTTGTAAAGTTTGTGAAGAATGTGTTGTTGGAAAATAATACCGTTCTCAATTTCCTCAAGGAAAGTCATGGAGAGCAAAAAAAATGTCTTGAAGCTAGTTCATTCTGATATTTGTGGGTGCCAATTTACCTTCTTAATGATTATTTTCAAAAAACATGGGTTTATTTTTGTAGGAGAAATCAGAAGCTTTTAGTGCATTCAAAAGCTTTAAGGCGTGTGTGGAGAATTAATCATAAAGTGTCATTAAATCTCGTTGCACTGATCATGGTGGAGAATATTTCAAAGGAATTTGATGTTTTATTGTGATAGGCATGACATTTGAAGGGAACTCACAGCTGCCTATCAACAAAATGGTGTGTTAGAGAGGAAGAATAGAACCATCTCAACATGGTGAGAAGCTTGTTGGCAAGAGAGAAAATTCCCAAAAATTTCTATCCCGAGGTAGTAAATTGGGGCATTTATGTGTTGAACAGAAGTCCTACTTTTTCTGTTCAAAACATGACACCTGAGGAAGCTTGGAGTGGATGGAAATTGAAAAATGCATTATAGGGACTAAAGCAAGCACCAAGAGCTTGGTATAGTCGTATAGATGTTTATTTCTCAAGAAAAGGGTTTCTTAAATGTCTTCACGATCATAAGCATTTTACAAAGCTAGGAAATAATGATAAAATGCTTGTTTATGTGCCTTTAAGTTGATGATTTCATGTTTGTTTTTATGATGAGTTTTGGAGTTGTTTCACGGTCATCGAAGAAACAACAAATTGCAACTTTATTAACCACAGAAGTTGAATTTGTTGTAGCAGCCTCAAGCTCTTGTCAAGTTGTTTAGCTAAGGGGGCTATTGGAACACTTCAAAACCAGCAAAAAGGTCCAACAATCATACACTGTGTCAACTATAAAAATTTCGAAAATTTTAGTTCTACATGGAAGGAGCAATCATATAGATGTGAGATACCATTTTTTGCGTGATCTCTGCAATGGTTGTATAGTTAATTCAATGTTCTGCAAGAGTGAAGAGCAGGTGGCTGATATTATGACTAAATCGCTTAAACAAGCAGCGTTTGTAAAGATTAGAAGAATGCTGGGAGTACGTTCTTCACAGGATGTCATTTTAGATTCTTGAATTTCTTCTTAAACTGATTTCTGCAGTTATCAGTTTAAGGAAGGGTGTTAGGATTTATTTATTTAAATTAATTACTATTAGTTTGTATGTTCGACTCTATAGCTATTTTGCTTAGTGGTTAGAGTTGTTTAGAAAGTAACTTTTGTGGTAGCTTTTTTTTTTTTTTCCTAGTTCATTAGAGTTAGCTTTTGCCTATATAAAGGCTGTGGGTCGATGAATAATATCATCAATTTCAGTACCAACTCCTTTAAATTTTTTCTCTCATGTTCTTCACTTTATTTGGTACAGTAGAACATTATCATTTCCAGTGTTGCAAAACATTGTTTTTTCTTTTATCTGTAGTCAGGTGGTGGGAAAGAATAGATCGTGGGGGCATCAACTCTTCTAGACAAGAAAACACCGATTCTAATATGTTTTTTCTTAGCCTCGGGATCCCTATCAAACAACGCTCTCATGCCTGAACTAGGCTGCTGTTGTTTGTGAGATTGTTGTAAAGTTGTCCACCGACAACCCTTTAGGCCAACCCCTAATTTGAAACATTTACGGGTACCCACTTTTCATTTGCCCAAGTCAAGGTTGTTTCATTGTTTGTTGTTCCTTCAGCTATAGGAACTAACGAACTGTAAATTCAAAAGAAAAGAAAAGCTTAATATATTCACAAAATAGTCCAAACAAATGGTAAAATACTAGGAATTTTATTTGAAATTGCTCAAGACTTACTTGCGTGGCTTGTGAATGTTTACATGAAAGGTGGGTATAGTTAGAGTAAAACCCAAAAACGAGATTTGGATTTTGGGTGGTGGTGGAGGAGCAGGAGGGAAAAAAATTTAATTTCTAATTATTTAATAATTTATGTGAGATTTGTTTTTATTTTTTTTAAAACAAATTGGGATTGTAGTTGCAATTAGTTCTTTATTTTTTTTTATTTAAATGGGAGGGTATATTTGTTATTTAAGAGCTTTTTATTGAAAAATTGTATAGAAATGACGATTTGCACAATGAAACATGGAAATCAGGTGAAAATGCAAAAAATTGAAACGTAAGGACGTTTCATACACTGAATGCCAAACGTTTGGACGTTTTGGGCTAATAACCCATTTAATTTTGAGGACGGGTTCTGGGTTTAGCTCAACCCTGGCCATTGACAATATCTCATATAGTTCAAGCTTAAAGTTTGAGAATATAACTAGTCGACCATTTTATGCAATGCTGTGAACCTTCCTTAAAAGCTAAAAGAATTAATCATAATATTCTATGTTTGAGAAACATCACAACTAGAGATAAAGAATATTATTATCCGATTGGTAGGTAGGATGAAAGAATCTGGTCTTTTGCCCTTCCTTGAAAACAAAGTTTAACATTTACAGCCCCACAAAATTTCTTTAGAAAATACAGCTTTACAAGAATAGAACCAAAAACCTTTACATTGGCACTTGTATAAAGACTTATTACAATTTCAAAACATGCAATTGTACACAAACCATAATTTTTTCTTATAGCATTTCTTGTCCCTGTGAATACTTAGATCTATAAGAATGGCCAATAGGCAGCTAAAGCCAGTTACAGGATTGCTTTTAGTTCTCAATTTTTGCATGTATGCAATAGTTTTGGGCATTGGTGGTTGGGCAATGAACATGGTTTCATAATTGGCATGTTCTGTTTCTCATCGAAAATTCTATGTACGTACATATGCGCATACAAACACGAGTAGGCATAGAATGGCCCACTTGTGCCAAATCGAAATAGTTTTAGGCGTGCAAAAACATGATGACTTATGCCTTTATTAGGCCGTCTTGAAACATGCACAAGCACGAAGTAGGCCTGACATGTACCACCTCAAAATGTGCACACACAAATATAAGAAATAGGCTCTGCATTCTGTTACAAAGATTGTACCAATGATGGTAGATGGTATTACTCAAATAGTTTAGGTGTTCAATAGTTTTGGGCATTGGTGGTTGGGCAATGAACATGGTTTTACAAATTGGCACGTTTCGTTTTGCATTGAAAATTATGTGTATATTTGAGCCTTTTTGACAAACATGCACATACAAACACAAGTAGGAATAGAATAGCTCACTCGTGCCAAACCCAGAAAATTTTAGGCATGCAAAAACATGACGGCTTTTGCCTTTTATTAGGCTGTCTTAAAACATGTACGAAACTGGGCCTGACAAGTGCCATCTCAAAATTTGTACACACTGTAAGAAATAGGCTTTACATGGCATAGCTAGCTGTGCCAGATCCCACTGCCACAAAGATTGGTAGTATGCACCAATTGTGATAGATAGCATTACTCAAATAATTTTGGTGTGCAAAGTGCTGTGCCAGCACATGCCACTTCAAAGTTGTAATTGGCCGATTTACATCTTTATGATGGAGCACGAGTAGCCTTCCTGCTGCAATTTCTGCTACCACCATTGCTTGGACACTTACTCTTCTTGCCATTGGGTGATTTATATTTACATAGAGCTTGTACAATTCAACTTAAATCATTCTTCTCCAAGAACCCTGTTTAGCTTATCATAATTTTTGATGGACATTAATTATTTCGAGTTTCCGACTGTAACTTTGTTAAGGATCTCCATTTGTTTTATCATTTTTTATGTCGTGCATTCTAGTTTTTCCTTCTTCTCAACTAACAAGAACTTTACGTGCAGCTTTGCGTGCAAAGAGATTGAACTCCAGATCAGAAATGCTCGTCTGGAAAGTGTTCGACGAATATTCATTTTGTGTAGAAGGTTTCAATACTTAAAGTAAAAAAACTATTTAGTACTAATGAGTGATTAAATTTTTATTTTTTTTTCACAGAGATCAATGGAAGCATTTCTTATAATCCTTTCAGCCACTCAACTCTTGTGCATAGCTGCAATTCAAGGGGTTGCATGAGCAAGGGGACTTTGTGTTGAGAAATGGTCTTCAATTGTGCCCGTGTGATTTTTGATTTATTTTATTTTCTAGTTTTATGAATTTTCAATTCATTTGTGTTGTGTCATTTTGTTAAAATGCGTCACAACTCTGCAAGTAATGTTATTTTACTTCTATTGGAGTTCATCACCCGTCTATGAGACAGTGCCAAATAGCATTATTCAATTAATGGAGGTGTGCCGAACAGAGGAAAATAATCTCACTAAATTAGAATGAAGTTACATAACACCATTGATGTTTTATTTCGATATAGGTGACAATGGACTTCATTGATATATTGTTCAATAAATTTGGAATTCATTTTGATTTATGGAAAATTAATTGATAGGACATCGATAGTGCTTCATAATGTTACTCCTAATATTATGGGGGAAGCAAGCTTGCATTCAACCGATTGACAGAAGTAGACATTTAAGGCAATTGATAAAGTATGTTTGGCGAGAATTCTGCATATGGTAACTCAATGGTTTTCACTTTTCATTTGTTGATTTTCACTTGCTTAAAATTAAATTACCTATTGTGAAAAATTTATAATTGCGTACAAGATATTCAACTTCTTATTTACATATTTCATAGAATTCACAAATTTTGTTTATTTTTTACCACATATTTCTTTATAATCCACGGTTTATAATTACTTAAAATCTTTGTTAAACAATCACTTATTTTGATAGAAAGTAAAAGTTACTTTTAAGTTTTATAAATAAATGGTAACAAACTAAAAATTTGTAATCGAAAGCAAAAGAATAATTAATTTATTAAACCATGTTGGAGGTCAAAAATCTACCATCTCAATCCGTAATTTAAGAGGGGGAAAAAACAGCAAGAAAGATTTCCTTTCCCTAAATTATTAATCATTTTTGTTTACTTTTGGTGTGATTTTCATTTTACTCGTTTAAAAATGAAGGAAACATATTAATAATAACCATGGAGAAAATATAGTCAAATCTACGAATGGAAAATTGGAACCAAAATGTAAGCATAAAACCCTATAAATGCTCGTAAATTTCTTATTTAAAGGTAAAATAGTTATCATCAACATATGTAATTTATTTAATTTATCACTTATTAATTTCCTCATAAGTAAGTTATAATTATGAATTTTGAAGCTTAATATCCAAGGAATCCACGAAAGTTCGAAATCCTAGATAACTTTCAAACGTGCCAGTGCAATGACGCAAAACTTTTACATGTTTCTTCTCTGCAACTGTAAAATTATTTTATTTTTCTCCGAGATATTAGCTCAAATTAGATTGAAAATATTCCACATAAAATCATTTGTTTTAAAATTTGTTGCTTGACCATTTGCATATGTATTCCTCTAGTTATAACTTTAGATTAATATATTTTCTCTTAACTAATTGATGATTAATATTTCATTATTCATGTCTACATTCTCTACAGACTTTTATTATCTTTGAGAAAGGATAGACAAAGATTATCTCAAATGGTATTAAGGAAGTTCCTAACTCCAACAACCATAAATAAACAATTTTAGGGAGATAAAATTCAGATACAATTGCAAAGAACTTTTGAATGTGTATGAATGTGATGTAATTAACAGTGTGGAGTACAATATTTATATGAATTTTGCTACATGTATACTATAGTGTACACTTTAATTTACACTTTGTCACATGACATTATCCTATTGGACAATTTAAATTTTAAATATTTTTTTCATCCAATTGACATTTCACAACAATGCAAGTGTCAACCAAAGTGTAAAAATTAGTGTACAAATAGCAAAGTTCTATTTATATACATGTTTGGAGTAGTGAGCAAGAAAAGGAAGTAACAAACTTAACCTATACACGTAGGAATTAATATGGTTACAACAACTAGCTAACAAAATCCATGTGTAGCTGTCGACTTGCTGAATCAATCACGTGTGCTTGGTTGAATTGTATTTTAACATCCTCTCTCAAGCTAGAGTTTACTACTTGACTCCAAGCTTGTCTTTAAGAAATAGGAATCTGATTTGTGTAAGAGGCTCAGTTAACAAATCTGCTATTTGGTCTGAAGATGGAACATATTGTATACTTAACTTCTTCTCAAGAACTCTGTCCCTGACAAAATGTATATCGAGCTCAATATGCTTTGTTCGTGCATGATAGACAAGATTTGAGGCTAATGCACTTGCACTGAGGTTGTCACACCATAGTATGGGAACTAATCCAGGATATAGTTTGACTTCCTTGAGCAATGATTCTATCCAAACTATTTTAGCAGTTGCACGTGCTAGAGCTTTGTATTCTGATTTAGTGTTGGACCTTGCCACAACTTGTTGCTTTTTGGAAGAACAACTAAAATATCTCCCAAGTAAACACAGTAGCAATCTGCATCAAAAATCTAGTTATTTGTATTCTATCACTTCTTTACATCCAAAGGCCTTGCTCAATTGTTCATTTTAGATATATGAAGATCCTTTTTATTGCCTTCCAGTGTACATTTGAAGGTGCTTGCAAAAATTGGCTCATTTTGTTCACATCAAAGGTTATGTCAGGCTTTGTATGTGCTAAATGTTGCAATCCTCCTATTGCACTTCTATATAGGGAAGGATTTACCATCTTTTTACCCTCATTTTTGGAAATATACTTGTCTACTGTCATAGGAATAGAACAAGGTTTGAGGTTCTCAAAGTTGAACCTCTTCAACAAGTCTTTTGTGTACTTGATCTGAGTAGGGTGCACCCCTGTTTCAAATCTACTTACTTCAATTCCCAAAAATTGATGTAACTCACCTATGTCCTTAAGTGCAAATTGAGTGTTTAATTTGTCAATGAAGCACTGCAACAATTTATTATCATTTCCAGTAATTACTATGTCATCAACATAGACTAAGGCAAAAATGAGTTGTTCTTGATTCATGTAAAACAATAGAGAATTTCAGCTTTGGACTTCATAAATTTCCATTTTAGAAGTGTTTCCTTCAATTTCTCATACCATGCTCTGGGTGCTTGTTTAAGCCCATAAAGCGCTTTCTCAAGTTTGCACACAAACGTGAGACTAGCCTTGTCAACAAATCCTTCCGGTTGGCTCATGTACACTTCTTCTTCTAGCTTTCCATTTAGGAAAGCATTATTTATGTCAACATGTCTAATACCCTTTCCAAATTGCCAGTGTAAGTATTATTCTTAGGGTAGAGGGTTTTCTCACTGGGCTAAAGGTCTCATAAAAATCAACACCTGGGGTTTGCAAAAAACCTTTAGCTACCAACCTGGCTTACATTCCCTTCAATGTTCTTTTTGGTTCTAAACACCCATTTGTTTCCTATCACCTTCTGATCAACAAGTGTTGGTACTAGTTTTCAGGTCCCATTCCTCAACAATGCCTTGCATTCATCCTCTATTGCTTCTTTCCACTGTTTACTTGACAGAGCTTCAAATAAATTGTTGGGTTCTTCTGTGTTCAGTTGGCACTCCCAACATTGAGTTGAGTAGACTTTTGGTTTAAAGATACCACCTTTGCTTCTTGTAGTCATAGGATGTTCTATGACCTGTTTACCCAATTCTACCATTCTCCGATCATCATCTACCTCACTATGTTTCATTTGATCATTATCAATGTCATCTTGATTTTCACTTGGAACCCGCTCATCACATGATCCTTCACCTCCATTTTTATTTACTTTTGTTGTCATATCATCAGATTTCTTAGACTGATCAGTGCTGTGAGATGTTGTTGCAGAGTTTGTGTTAAGATGAGCTGCATCAATTGAGTATGCTGGACTGAAGAAGGGAAGATATTGTATTATGGTTTCAGATTTTTGAGAATTTTCAGTTTTGTTAAGAAAGCTAGTCTTGAAGGGAAATTCCTTTTTCATTGAAGACTACATGTCTAGATAGATAGATTCTGCCAGCTGGATTGAGGCATTTGTACACCAGTTGGACTGAGGCATTTGAACCCTTTATGTGAGTTACTAAAGCCAAGAAATACACATTTTGTAGAATGAAAGTTGAATTTGTGTTTTTGGTATGGTCTAAGGCAAGGAAAACAGGCACATCCAAAGACTTTTATGAATTTATAGTTAACTTACTCATTGTGTAGCAGTTGACAGGGTGATTTCATGTCGAGGACTAATGTTCGCAACCTATTAATCAAATAAGTAGCAGTTTGAAAGGACTCTCACCAATAGTGCAAGGGCATACTAGCTTCGGCAAAAGATGTCAGTCTGATTTCTGTTATATGCTTGTGTTTTCTTTCAGATCTACCATTTTGGACTGAGGTGTGAGGACAAGAAAGTCTCATATCAATACCAGATTGGAGAGCTAAGTTAGTAAAAGCTCTAAACTCACATCCCCAATCTGATTGAAGTGCCTTAATCTTCTTGTCAAGTTTATTTTCGACTAAGCTTTTGAATTGAATAAACACACCTAGGGCATCTGATTTATTTCTCATAGGATATATCTAGGTATACCTACTGTAGTCGTCAATGAAAAGGATATAGTATCTAAAAGCATTTGTAGAGTTTAGGGTGCAAGAACCCAGGCATCTGTATAGATTAGGTCTAGGGGGCTGAGGCATGTGAGATGGACAATATAAATGGTAGAGAATGTGATTTACCAAATTGGCAGGCATCACGGAAATGATTGTTTTCATTGTCATGAATTTTTTTATTACAAGACTTGAGCACTTGTGACATCACACGATTGGCAAGATGTCCAAGTCTCATATGCCATATTTCAAAACTAGACTCTGACTTTCTAGCACTTTTGGGAACATCAGACACTTTGGACTTGACTACAGAACTTGAGAAATTCGACTTATTGGGGTAGACTGACACTTGGTAGGAAGACCTTTTTGTTGGTTCATTTGGGTGTTCAACCTGATACAATCCATCTTTAAGCTTTCCCTACAGAAGTAACTTCTGGGTTTGTTTGTCCTTAATAGCACAAGAGTCAGAGTGAAATTCCATAAAAACACTGTTGTCAGAAGTTAACTGTGAAACAGTCACCAGATTTTTCTTAATTGATGGCACCAACAATGTGTTACTGAGAATTAATGACTTGTGATTCAAAGTTTTCAAGTGTTTGGTGCCAACATGTGAGATTTGAAGTTCATTTCCATTTCCTACAGTAAGACTTTCCTTACCATTATACTCACGAGCTTCAATCAGACTTTCTTTCACAGCAGTAACATGATTACTTGCTCCTGAATCAGCATACCAGGCTGGATCTACAACA